CTTACCCAGGCATGTCGAACTGGGAGCGATTCAGAGCGCCTTTGGGGTTGAAAGGTACTTAAAACCGAACACCCTTCAGAACAATTTCGACAAACCTCTCCTGCTCTCTGCTCTTTCCTCCATCCTCCTTTTCCTCTTTCTCCTCTGTCCCAATCGTCCTTTCCTATTTCACTTGTGGTTTCAGTTCAAAGACGAATGTCTTCGACTCTGCTTAGCGGCGTTGATACGTGGGAAACGGTGTCTGTCAGCAATGCATATACCGGGTGACGATCAATGTGTAATCTCGGACCAGGATCAGCTAACTCGTCCGGATCTCTTCATCGAAAACGACGCCCATCACACTTTCACCGTCAACTACTTCCGTAACACATGTATCGATCCACCAGTAGAAGGTGCAGTGTACATTACTGTTCAAGATCAGTGCGATTTCTTGCCATAGACACTAAAAATGGCCTAGTTCAATGACGGGAGGGGGAGAAGGGGGTAGGGGCATTTTGCACTTTCGCTTCACTAGTTCCGGTTTACAAAACCCACTCTTGTGAAACCTGTGAATTCTAGTGAATTTTGAACAAACTTGTCGAGCCACCATTGTAAAACCTGGCAATTTTGTGAACCCACGAAATAGTTTTCTAAATGGGTCGACACGTCGATAGGGAATAGCAAAAGTGCAAAATGCCCCTACCCCCCTCCCCCCCCCACTCGCTCCGCCCATCGCCGTACTGCCCCGGAAAAGTTCATCTTGCCCGAAACCGGACCAACGGTATTCCAGCGTAAGCCTGAGCTAGAGAATCCGAATGCGGCTGATGATTTTGCCAATGACCCCCCATCTTCGTGATAACATTCGCATTTCTGACAGCTGCGGTCTACGTTAGATAGCAGTAAAGAAGAGTTTTACATTCCACTCAACCCAGAGTTAAGGGGAGGGAGTTGTAGGGGGGTGGTGGATGGGGTGGTTGGCATGGCGTGTCTATGCCATTTCATCTCTTGTCTTGTTTTTCTGTCAATTTTTTCTCGGAGATTTTCAGTGAGTATATTATCCTGTTCGCTGTGGACACTTGGATCAGGGGGAGGCGCTGGGTTTGACGCGGCACCAGCTCCTTGTTCTTGTCGCTTGCTTACTTGAATACCTAGTGGAGGACGGGTTGGTGCCGCGCCAAACCCAGGCCCCAGCGTCCGCGAACAAAACTGTATGCAACTTCCTGTTCGGGTTACCGGCTTATTCGATGCCCTACTCACCAGTGCGACATTCACTTTTGACCATTTTTCGCCGATTTGTTTTAGGAGCTTTCTTGCACTGAAATCGTTGTCAACCCGCAGGCATGGGCTGTTTAGCGCCATGCTGGCACCAAATGGTCTTGGCGCATAAAATAAGTGTCAGAATCGTGATTGGGGCCATCAGTTACCCCTGTATACAAACTTTCACAGAAAATATTTTTTGGAGGTTTCGGCGATAATGGACCGACCACTTGGTTGGCAGTGGCACCCCGTCAGCGACGCAACGGAACTGGATCTCACTTTAATTTTTCAGGTCTAAATATTGTGCGATACATATATCTGTCCTTTTTCAAATTTGTAGTTGTTAATTATGAGGTATATACTAGTAAATAGAAAGGTCCAGGTATCGAAGTTGGATAACTACTTGTACAGGATACTGATAGCCACCAGTTCAACAAGACCTATCATCATAACTCGAACAGCTCGAGGAGAAAAATTTCGCTGAAACTCTGTATATAGGGGTTATTAATGGCCCTGATCACGGTTCTGACCTTTATAATTGGCGCCGAGGCCATTTGGCGCCAACATGACTCTGAATACCTTCACCCTACAGGTGGGGGGGGGGGCAAAAAAAATGACTTTTTTCTTCCTTGACTTTCGAGGCGCTATAAGTACACTTTATTAAATTTTTATCGGACCTTTCTGAGGCGGAGGTGGTGTAGTGACAAGTGGCGCGCTTACCACTCGCGCGGCGCCGGGTTCGAATCCCGGGTCGACACCCGCCCAGGCCAACCAAGCCTTCTACCCTCCGGGGACGGTAAATTGGTACCAGATTCGTCTGGGAGGATAAAACACTGACTTGTACATCGGCTGGCCACCGCAAGTCATTGTATAGGCCACATCGCATTCAATAAGCCACTACGATTCTGAATGGAAGTAGAATGCGTGCCGCATCCCACAAAGGGATTGATCAACGGCGAAGACTTTATCCTTCTTTTATCGGACACTTCTACCACCATATTAAAGAGCATATTAAATACTATCATGATACTCCGCCACAGCCTTCTGGAGGAGCGCCATCGAGAGATTCTGCCACGCGTGAGTGGGTGCCTGAGTTCAGCGAGATCGTTGATTTCTCCGCCACTGTAGACCACCCTATTGAACTCCGCCCGAACCAGGTAATTGGGGGGTCAGGTGACCTGCTTAGATATTCCACCTTCTTCAGGTACTCAACGCCCTTCCATTCCAAGTAGGCAAGAGTTTTCCCAACGCCCTTTGATTCCATGTGGTGTCACCCAATCCTGTAGCAGTACAAAGTTTCCAAGAAGGTACGGGCGACGACATGTGGAGAGGATATTCTTCTCGAGTTGCTCGATGTAACCGCCAGCGCTCACCTTTCAGTCCGGGGCCCACGAAGAAAATATCGGTCTCTCCATTCCAGGTACGTCCGGTCCCCACCATCAACTGGCGCCTTGGCGACTGAGGTGAAGATGATGTCCTAGACCGTAGCGACGTTGTCGGAGCTGCTCGATGATGGAGGTCTTCCAGATCGAGAGTACTGCTCTCCAGGTAGCTATCCATGGGTGACTCCATACTAGAAGTTTCGCAGCTGTTTGGAGGTGACATGAATTCCAAAGGTCTTCTCCAGTCAGGCTGCGACTGGAGATGACTCTGATGGGCGAGAGCCAGCTCCTGCTTATCGAGGAACATCTTGGGTATCTTCCGCCCTGGTACTCGTATCCACGTCCTCTCTGGGCTGCGAAAACTTTGCTGATATGTGACTCGGTCGAAATGTCTTTTTTTGCCCCCCCCCCCCTGTATGTGCGGGTGAGATGCTGCGAGATCACTTCAGAAGCTTCAGTGCTACCTCATTGTGTGTCAATTGAGGCACTTCTCTCACCTTAGGTTGTGTTATTTTTGATGCCGAGTTCGCAAAGGTCTCATTCGCCATCATACTCAACATTAGAGATAGAAAAAAATCTTAAAAAAATGGCTAACAATTGGTTTTCCTTGGCAAACTTTTCTCTAATTTTTTTGGCCCAAGAACGCATAGCAAAAACGAAACCCATTTTATGATCCTTATATGGACCCCTACAACATGCAAGAAATCATTTCTGAAAAGCGCCACGACCTGAATGACATCCCTTGTTAATGATAATCGATTTACTTTTGTATGATCCGAGGACCGCCCGGCGACTGCTCGCGTCTTATGCCGACCGTCTCAAGTGGGTTCAAACATGAAGTTTTTCTAGAGTGCTAGGCAAAATGTGTAAAACACATTCTGAAGAGATCCATAAGTTCCCTTAAAGGCAGTTGGCACGATGATTTGGTGCTCGGCCTAAAATGCTAGTAGGGCGCTATATAGTGGGGAAATGGCGAAAAACGGAACGGTCAAAATCCTGCGAAGAAAGAGCCTCCGTTCTCAATGTGTTCAAAATCAATTTTGGACGAGTTTCCCATCTTGCCAATAACCGCTACCGAAGGTACGGCTGCATATGTGTACTCATATATCCATGCAGCATCACGGCCGCTTCATACCAATCCCTTCGCTTCATAATTTAATGAATCGATTAGAGCGTCAGGAACGGTCGTCCATTTGTGGGCGGGCGGGCGTGGCGGGCGTTTGGGTCGGAATGTTGTGGCTTGATAGGGCCCTTATAAGGGCACCTTCCTTGGAAAAGGCATTATGCAGCGCCTGCTCAGGGTCGCGGAATTCCGTCCTGCCAGGCGTATTAATCCTACTCGTCTTGGGGGATTTATCGTCAACTGCCTTTAACAGTCACTTGGACAATTTCAGTATCAAAGACCTACTTTTACCCCTTCGCCCATGGCATGGCGCAATACACCATTCATTGAACTTTAACGTCACGTACCTATTTGAAGGATGGCGCGACCACACCGACTTAAAAACGTTGGTAAAATGGATTGCTACTCTTGCGTAGGCGCGGAACAAATCTCCTGTGATCCGATGGTTGGCATCAAAACGTTGCCCTTCTCCGGCTGGTATTCGTTTACGCTAAAATCAACGTTAATTGGAAGATGCGAAGTGGAAAGGAAACAAGAGAATAAGGCGCCGATCAGTTCGGAAGGGGAACATTCCGCTGGTTCCTCTTGTTAGTACTTGTCAACTGACGGGTTTCATTTGGTAATACCTGTCAAGACTTGTGAAACTGCGACGTGGCTTAATGCCACTGTGGTTATAAAAGTTTGCAGGTCTCTACAAGGTGGTTGCAAGCTTCGCTGCACCATTCAGTGCCCTTCCCCTCTCACGTAGCTGATCAAATAGGAAATGAAGAATTATTTTAATACACAATCCGCGATTATTGATAGGTGGAATTGGTTCTCTCCACAAAGTCGCACGCTCCGTAACTAGAGAAGTTCTACCACTCGAAAGTGGGTGACGAGGGCGCCGGCTGCACTAACAACCCCACCCACCAGTAGCGACTCCACCCAGAAAAGCGAAGGGCTCGCGATTGCCATTGGCAGTTGCGTGTCTATCGCCTCACTCCTCTTCCTGCTCCCTCATCGTTTGTCTCTGGCCCTTCTCTCTCGCTAAACAGTGTCTCTCGACATCGCGTCACTTCGCACATTCGACCGATGCTTAAATCAGCTGCAAATAGGGGCCTTACTCAGGTCATTTTAGAAAGTTTTGACCGTTCTTTTTACTGATAAGTTAATTGAATATAACAGAATTCAGGTTTGAACCCCACCATCCCATAGTACTATCGCGTAATGTGCCTTCAAAGCAGACAACATAATTCACAAAATAAAAAGCTGTGACAAGCATGTTTTGTGACGTCATCCGATCAGTTGCAGGAGTTGATGTCGTCACGATCAAAAAAGGTGACCTCCACTGCATTATTCGTGCCCACGTCAAGTGGTGTATCTTTTAGGAGACGGGTGATTCATCACGCCACTGATTGTTTTCATAAGTACGTGTCACCCTGACATAGAATCTCCTGAATTAGTTCTCAGATACCTGGTGACAAGGTTAATGCACGTTTATCAGAGTGCAATATGACAACGGGAAGGATAGTTGGGGGGGGGGACATGTGCTTCGCCATGTTCCTCCTCCAGTTTTGCCTAGTGTTTTCATAGCCTCAAGATGGTGTTCTATTCGGTGAATGAGCGTTGCCAACACGCATGACGCGGCACGGCCGTGTGTCCCCCCTAATCATTTTTGTCAGCAATATAACCCACTCATAGCCACATATTGCAGAAGGTGGTCGTTTGGAGGCACGCCTGACTGGATTCCGTGGTGGAGAAGGCATTCTGGAAATGGCTCAGCGTAAAGGACAAAATCCAAAATTGTTGGCGATCATGACCGGACTGCAGGAGAACAGGGTATGTCATTAAGCAGTACAGGAATTGATGGCAAGTATATGTTTGGGGAAGCTCTTGGACTGAATCCTCAACAAGGAGCCCTATCCAAGGAGAAAAACGCTAGTGGGCAGAGTCAATTGATCCCCGATGATGATGATGAGAGGGAGGGCCCGGTGAGATGTTTTCCATGAAAGGGAGGGCCAGTCGGATCGGCTTTCTTCGCGGCCGAATGGTCGAAAAAAATTGTTTTGAGAATTACCGCACTTTACCGTTTCACTGCTTGTATATATCTTCATCTGCCCAACCATTGCTCAGTTTCACTTACTCCCCATTTCCTGGAGTTTTTCGGATATGTTTTGAGGGTTCCCCGGCACCGTTCACTTCGGCGAACGCCCTGCCCATCGCGGGTGTGCTTCATTCATTCCGTCCGCCAACTGTTTGCCTATCGTTTCCCACAATTTCCGCTCTCCGGGATCTTCTGGAACCGAATTACGAATTTTTGAAAGTTCTGTAGCGAGCACCGCCCACCTATAGCACGCCTCGCCCATCACGGGTGTGACTCCCTCATTTCATCCGCCAACTGACTGCTTATCGTTTCCCACAATTTCCGCTCTCCGGGATCTTCTAGAACCGAACTACGAATTTTTGAACTATGTAGCTCACAACTGTGCGCATGCCCCGCCCACAGTGGGCGGGGCTTAGCTCAGTTCATGTGTGTTCCGTACATCTTGCCCATGCCCTACCCAACCCACCCTTGACCCGCCCCCTCCAACTGGCTCTTCAGGTGATTCCGAATTTCCGGACAGACAGACAGACAGACAGACAAACAACAGACGTTGCCGTTTATATATAGTAGGATTGCCAGTTCTTCAGATACTTTTCCCTGTCGCAAATTCCGGCTAGTCGCCAAATTTCCCAGAGCGAAGATCCTCCCAAACAGCGGGATTTCCACAGTGGATTTGAATGGGCACAGCGCGAGAGTTTGCTGAACCTTGTTAGACGGCATCATTCATAGCCAATGCACATCAGAGATGTGTGAACCCTATGGGGGGGGGGGTGGGGAGGGGGAGGAGTATTTGGCCCCCTTTAAGCAGGAAGCCATTCTCAATGATGACAGAACTTCTCCATCGGTAGTTCCTTTGTTCTAAGCGCTTATTCCCCCTTTCGCCTGCTCTACAGCGGAAGTTTGGGAATGGATGTTTGGTTGCCGATACCATACCAAGCCGCTTGTTGTTCCCCTTAGGGCAGTGTATGATAATACCACCGCTTTACGCGATCTGCCTATGTACCCTTTTTTGAGCATCAATCCTACACAATTAGACTTAGACTGGCTCTGTTCTGATTTCTAGAGGATTGTCCCTCTGTAACGAATTCCCAAACCAAGTGGAGCTCCATCGCCTCTACATGTCCAGTTGAATGAGGGGGCGTATGCCAGGTGTGCTTGGTGAACATTATTAGCCTGGGACACCGACACCGCACTCTGACGCTGTTCCGCTTGGAAGGGGCATCAGGGCACATCATTGGTTGGGGATTTTAGTCGAGTCTGTACCACCCATCCCCCTTTTTTGGGAGTTGGTACGAGCCGTCTTCTGTCCTTCCTCATTGAATCGAGCCATCGATTCGAGCCGTCGAGCGGCGAGCGGGGGGGGGGGGTAAATAGCACATGTGAAACAGGAAAAGTCGCGAGACAATACGACCCCCTCTACCAATTTTCAGATTTTCCCCCAACTTCCTGACTTCCTGCCCTTTTTTTCCAAAATTTCCCGAAAACTTCCTTACTTTTTACCGGAAAATTTTTTGCGTCGTTAGGGGAGAGTGTAGAGGCGTGGGGGAGGGGGCATAGAGTACGCATGAAACAGGAAAATCAGCAGAAGTCAACCACCACTCCTACAACGCCAAAACGTAAATACGACCCCTCCCCCCTCCCAAAAATGGAAATGATCAAGTACGACCCCCCTTTTTTTACAACGTCTCTGAAGCGAGAAAAATCAACTATTCAAATAAATTTTTACCAGCCCAAATACGACCCCCCCTGTCGGTCAAATACGACCCTCCCCTATTAGGGATTCCCCAACAACGATGTGCTCTGAGGGGCATTCTGAACCTTCTGTGGCCCCCTTTGTTGGTTCGTGTTAACTAACAGGTCTCATTTTGGGGAACGCGCAAACTCTTGTGAAGCTGCAAAATGGTACTCGTGAAGCGCATTGGTTACAAGAATTTACAGGTCTTAACAAGGTATCTTGTAGGAACATCACTGAATAGTATTTGGTGCACCCAACTAGCGAAATTGCCCTCTCACCTCGATCGATTCCCGAAGGGACTTGTCTGCTTATCCCTGTTGACAAACGAATTGCCCGTACGTTCATTTTTGCAGAACTTCCATTTGGTCTATGCTCCTGATGTTGAATTGACGTCGTGCTATAAAGCCGGTATTCTGAAGGATCACCAAGGGAAAAAACTTATCACAATCGACAGTGATAGCAGAGGCATGGCCATACAGGTATGTATGAAAAAGTAATGATTAGCTGGCAATAAATCAATGGATGTTTCCAGCCCTGGACAGAGATTGACTTCCACATACTTGACGACGCAGTCATCGATAAAGTAAGTATAGATAGCTGACTAAACGGCTTTTTCAGGAAAAACCACAACTTCCATGGGGAAGGTGCGGCCACAACAGGTGGATATTGCGCGTGTGGTCGCGAGCGGCTGTGATAGCTAGGTTACGTCGCAGTCAAAATGAAAATGAAATTGCTTTGGCTGTTGCGTCAGTAGGCGAGCGAACCTCAGAATCCGAACTGAAGACACGTTCCACGCACACTGTATGGGCAGGGGTCAGATACATATTTTACTTGTGCCTTGTATTTTGCCGTTCTCACCTACTGTTGTTGAAGAGAAAGTAGGCCCATCGATAGGTGTGACCCCGCCCACACAGTTAAAGAGAACTGAGTGCGTGTGTTTAAGTGACCAACTACAAGCAAACGCTTTCCTTCCAGTATGTTTGGAACAGCTCATCGTGAGAAAATAAAGAGCAATAGCGTTCTGTGAGGTTCACTCCTTCCGCCCCGTTTCTTCGTTTGGACACATCTAGCGCAGGGGATAAGGACATTTCCTCGACCTAACTTCCGCGTGGGAGCGAGTAAGGCAGCTCTCTCAAAAAGCAGCCTTCGCACTTCATGGAAAGTCGATCAGCTACCATGGCTCCTTCATCTTACGTCCATGACGTATCATGAGATGTGGGATATTCGGCGATGGTCGGCTGGGGGGGGGGGGGGGGGGCGGGAGAGAGACTTATGCTTGTTTTTGCTAGTTCATGTTAATCAACAAGTGTCACTTTAATGAAACCTGTTAATTCTTGTGAAGCCACGAAGTGGTACAAGGAAGCTACATTGATTACAGGAATTAACAGGACAAGGCGACCTGTGCAAGCGTTGCTAAGTAACATTTGGTGCTCCCAAAGTGTGCCGGATGTTCTAACACGTAACCCTTTGGTCTGCGGACCCACACTGCACTAGCATTAGGCCCACAGTTCCCCACAGTATCATTTCATCGTGCCTACGCCTAGGTCATGTTGCAATACCGACTGCTATACCAGGCTCGTTTCAATGTTTTCAATGTCATCCACTTAGGTAATACTTGTTGTCGAAGCTGGGACCTCAAATGTGGTTGACTGTGGGAAACTGCAAATTCATGGCAATGTTTCCGATTGGCAAAATGCCATGAACGGAGGTCCTGTCACCACCCTCCGGATTACCATCACGTATTTGGTCGCTGTACTGGTGGCATTGTTGATTTTTGCATAGAGACTGGTTGCTAGCATAATAAATGTACAAATTTGTAGGTATTCACTGTATTTTGATATGAATATTTGTTGTATGTGATTTTCAGCCAGAAAGTATTGGTAAATTTGTTCAGAATAAGTTTTTTGTTGCTGAGGCGGATGCCAGATGGAACATATCAACCATTTTTCGCCAGCACTCATGGTTAGACACAGGGCACGCCATTGCGTTGTGATCATTTCCTGAAAAATACGACCCCCCCTAATTCCATCTTCAAGTACGACCCCCCTCCCCATGTTACCTCTTCCCTAGATTTTTCCAACCTCCTACCACTTTGTCTATTTTTTCCCAAAAAATTTCTGGTTTTTTTTACAAAATTTTGCTGTCGAGCGGGGGGGAGGTCGCAGTACCTACGTACGTCCCAAGCACGTCCAGCACTCTGGCGCTGGTGTAGCATACTGACAATACGTACGAGGAAGGGGCGATGATAGGAGCTACGATCACCGCCCACAAGGGCACCATGAATTTATAAACAAACAAAAGGACTCACGACGTGACGATTAATAAACAGATGAAAGTACATTCCCGGACTTTTCTGATCGTAGGAGCACATTGCTTGCAATTGGGAAGCCCTATCTAGAAGTTACACCTTTCCAAAACCTGCGTGAAAGCCCCATGCATGGCGCATTGCACAGGTGATGCCAATTGGCGCCCATTAGACCATTCTTCAATACCCTTTGCGGAAACATGTGTTTCAGAAGCATACCAAAGTCTTCAAGCCAACTGGAGGTTTCCTGGCCTCGGAGGGGTTGATTTTTCGTGTCGTGGGGGGTGAGCACGAAATGATCACAACGGGGAATTTTTTCGAATAGCAGGCCTAGGAAGAAAATTAAAGCCTTGCTGGAAAGTAGAAATCTTCAAGCTTCCGGCACAATTCTTTTTTTACGAAAGGCCGTGTATGAAGCTTGCCATGGACGTCCAAAGCGTAGCGACTCGCGGTTCGCAAAAATGATCACAGAGATCACGGATCACAACGGGGAAAATCTCTGGAATCGGAACGTTTTTGAAATCGCTCAATTCAGGTGACAAGAGCCAACCTAGCTCTACTCATTCCCACTTACCCCTCTCCGATAGCTTCACTTTCAACGAAGTTATGGGTGTTCAAATGAGGGGTACTTTTCACGTGTTTGGCTTGAAATTGGCTCCAGGCCGTAAAATAGCGCGCACCAATGAGCTTGTATGAGCGCGCTGACCGCGAACAGCCAAAATTCAAAAGTAATCCATAGTTCCGGTTCCCAGCTGGCCTGGTGAGTTTTTTTCTTATCCATTTGATTGTGAATTATTTTGATTGTTTGTTTTTGTTAAGTTTGATTTTGTTTTGTTGAGTTTGATTTTGTTGTGAGGAAATTGCTCAGGATTCAATTTCTACGGTTTCATAGGTAGCTTTTGCAATGGATTCTTTTCTAGATTTTGCGGATTAGTGGATTGGGATTTATCTAGACCAGATGAGGAGGGTTGGTGGGCGAAGTGTCTTGAAGTTTTTTGTGAGGAAGGAGGAAAAAGTTTCAGCAATATTTTTTTAGTTCTTGGCCTAGGAATAGTTCGATAGTGCCTAGTTCTATTTATTGTCATCTACATCGTCCCTTTTGAGCTTCTTTTCACTTGTACCGTGTATCACCGCTCTCTCCACTTCAACATGGGCCATGCGTTTACGACCCCCCCCCTCCATCGCGGGCAAATACGACCCCCCGTTGTGATGATCACAAAGATGGCGTGCCCTGGTTAGACAGCTTGTGCGTATCTTCCTGGGAGGGGCATGTCTCGGGAGAAACCACTTCTCAAGGCGGGTTAGGCTCCTAGTTATGTTGTAAAGCGACAAAGCCACGTTATACTTCCCAGGTGTGAAATTGATATGTCAGCCATGTTAGAACATGTCACGCCGTTTCAGTGAAAGGCGCTGACGAGCAGGTGTGACGTAGTTTACCGTGGAGTGTAGCCCCTCCCAAGCTACAAAGCGCTTCGTCTTGCTAGATTTCAGTTTGCGCGAGGCAAAATAACGGTTTACAGGCAATAGGTACAATGGCTGGAAGCGGGCGGTTACTGCCATATGATTTCGTACTCAAAGGCACTTTGTGTCTTCAAAGGCAGTGGGCGCGATCGATGGGGTGGGCGGTTACTACCCTCGTCATTGGCGGAAGATCTGCAAGAAGGCGCTTGGCTACACCCCACTCCGCCCCACCTGAACTGGGCAGTTATCGTGCGCCCCCATCCATGGCGCCCACTGCCTGTGAAGACCAACTGTCTAGAAGCATCGTAATTATTGTGGCGTTGAAGTAGTATGAACTGAAGTGCTGAGTGGCACGTCTGTGAAGGAAACAGAGCAAAAGCTCTTCTAGACACCTCAAATAAGGCCTCCCAGACCTCCATCATCGTAGGAAAGGACCCTCGGTAGGACAAATTTCCCAGTCCGCCGGCCAAATGTTAGCAGATCAATAGCAGTGCAGATTTTACACTTCCAAATGCAACTTGGGGTTTTATCTTCCTCGTCAGGGGACGAGGTCTAGGTCCAGGATTAGAGATCAACGCAAGCGAGATGGGCAAGATTCCCGGCGCAGAGTCAGAAGCTCACTTCGTCACTCTCCTCTGATGTCACGCCTTCCACATGATGATGGTGTCACCCATTATTCGACCGTGGAAATCAGGTCCTGATGCAAGAGGCAGCATCTGGTTGCCGGCAATTGTAATGTGTCTCTCTAAAGGCACACTTTACGCTCACTTGTTGGGTACAGTTCCTTTCTGATTTGAGTAACCGGAAGCCCAGCCGCGCAGGTTGTAGCATTTCGAAGGCTCCATGGTAAACAATGGCGGTACTTAAGCCGTCCTTAGCCGATGGAACCTCAACGTCGGAAGTTCTAGACCCCTGAGGTTGAGGGCTATAACATGCAACCCGGTTCAGCGTGCCTCTAGACATGAATAAAGATAGAAGGAAGGTGTTGAATCTTGAGTCTTACGATTATTTCAGCTGTCTCTGATCTGTCACACCTGTTGCAGTGTCTCGCCTTTCCCTTAAGTCATCCAATGGTGATGCCCCTTTTGGCGTTTTCGTCAATTCTGCACTGTTCAGAGTGTTCAGAATCCACATTCCGAACCCTTGAACAATCGAATTACCCGGATCAGGCGCGTTTGATCACGCGAGTGACCGGATCGCGTGATTTGGTCGCAAAGTATAACCACGCTTTAACCACAATTAAAGCGTAATCCACGATTTCACATTCGGATCATGCTGCCCACGAAATGCAGTTGTGGGAATAGCCCAAACATCCCATTTCCTTATCACTGAATGCGTCTTTTTCGCGCCATGTCAGGTTACAAATGAGCGCCCGTTGGATGGTGAGTCACCCGTGCAGCAGCCAATGCCTTTTCATCTATCCTGCAACCCTGCCCGGCAGGGAAGCAGAGCACTCGTAACTATCCGGCCATTCATACAATCTCAACCATTCACGGTTTTGCCCCCTCCTTTTCTCGCTGAGCTTGTATCGTGAAAGTTAAAACGTAAAGGGCAGATCTAAGTTTATTCGGTTTCGAGGAGGTGTTTGAACTTGTTTTAACATTGTGCCATGGGTCATCTGGATTAATCTTCGCTGAAGTAAGTTGCTTGGTTTCTTCCATTCAGAGTGATATCTCACAGCAACCTACCGTTGTCGCTACATTAACGGTCTGCTACTGATGCAGCTCAAAGGACAAAATGAAATGACTAGAAAATCACAGTTCTAGCTACCCTCAGTATCACTTGCCTTCTTTTCTAACGCTTATACAAGTCGTAGCTTAAAGACAGCCCCCGCGCTCGAGTAGTACATGGTCACCCTTTCTTGTGCAAGTAGTACACCCCCAACGCTATAAGACTGTAGCACTCTCGGCGATTCTCACGCGAGCGAGAGCGAGCTGAGTATCCGCCGAACATGCTGGGTTCTAACGCCGGCTTCAGTTGGACCTCCCACTTGCTAGATGTCCTCTGACGGAGAGCCACTCAGTTCTTCTTTGTGTGGGGCAGCGGGCATTAATCGGAATTGCACGTCCTTTTTGCTGACCGCGCTCGTGCCAATGAATGGTTCTGCTCTCCTTCAGTCTTATTCATTAGGAGCACATACAGTCAACTCAAACCCATTTCGCAAGATTTAAACGCCTAGAAGTCACGAGCGACCCAATTGTCCGTGGTGCAGAGCTGCGACGCAGTACCTACACTAAAATATGCGCGCTACCGTAACCCTATATTCGGACGCCAAGTTTCTGAAAGTTTCTTTTCTTTTTCAAGAGTTTTTCTTCCGGGTTTTTGATGTTTTCCGTATTCTTTTTTTATTGGATGATATCCACTACTGATGACAAAGGTATCTTCGAGCCAAGGGTTGTATAGGATCGCAGCGCGGTGTGACTATCAGAGAGCAATTTTGTTTGTGGTGTTGTTGAGGACTATTCTTGCTTTTTTCTTCTTTGGGGAATTAACTTATCAGCTACTGTTTCCTAATTGAAAAGCAATTATCTTTTTGACACTTGCCTATCGCGGGAGCTGTCTCTGTAACGGTAACCTCGTGCGCATCGTACTAGAATTCAGATGTTATACCTTTATCTGATCTAAAGGCACTACTTATGTTTTCGACGCGCGTTCATTTTCTGTTTTCTCTACTCTCTCTCTCTCTCTCTCGTCTGTATGGTGTTCTTCGGTCACTGTGACCTGACACATTCCAACTTTTCGTACATGATAATTGGCTGCCCCCCCCCCCTCATGAAAAAGCCAGTACTGTGGCTTTTTGAGCATTTCGGTGCTTTGGCAACAGCTTTTGTTGGTATGAAGGAATCAGTCGTGGGCCAGTGAAAGATCGTCGCTCACTACTAGGCAGCTGTTGCGTACCAGTTGTGTTGTTTTATAACTCGTTCATATTTTTTGGAGGATCACGGAAGGAAGGTCCGCCAACGGAGTTGTGGCGATCACGGAGGGTATATCCTCATAGTGCGTCCGACCCTTCTCC